TATCGTTTTCGAAGGATTTTTTATATACGTTCCCTTACGTGTTACTTGAAGAATTTTCTTAGCAACGTTGCTGTATAAACAGCGCGCGTTCGAAATAATTAATTTAACGAAAATGTTAAATGAAACTCAAAGTTCTCACGATACTCGATACGTTATCACCTACAGAGAAGTTTTTTAAAATTAACCAGAAAAAAGCGATGGATACGTGAACTAATGACTCTTCGTTGGAAAACTTTTCGTAAAATAAAAGAAAAGAAAGAAAAATAAAAAAGAAAACTTATGCAACGTGACTGTAACCGAAGAGCCTAGATTCGGGATCGGTTTCTAAGGATGTTGGAGCGTCGCAGAGATGAGATTTAAAATGTCGTCGCGTAGTGACCTGGAGAGCCCCCCCCCCCTCCCCCCACCCGTGGACAAATCGCCCGTGAAATGGAGAAATTCGCGGGGATGCCGCGGAAAATCCATGCCTCGTCCACTGAATACCTTATCCCCGAATCTTGTTAACATTCGAACGTGGACAAATAGGTGAAACGGTACGTGCGGATCGAATACGAGGGTAACGCGAGATTACATCGTGCGATTAATTTTTACAAGATCGCTGTGGAAAAACTATGGAAAAATGGAATAAACGTCGCGCGTACAAAAAAAGGAAGGAAAGAGAGAGAGAGAGTGAGAAAATAGGAAGAGAAATAGGAAGAGGGACGACGCTAAGAGGCAGAGAATTCAATTAAACTCTCGTGGCTGTCTGAGAAGCCTAAAGGACAGCTGTGGCTGTTCGAGCAGAGAACGCGGGCAGAGAAGAAATTGGTTTTTGCGTGTGCGGGGGCGTGTTGTGCCGCCCGTTCATAAAGCATGTATAATAAACACGGTTCTCGCGTCGCTGCGCTTGCGTGTGTTCGGGTCACGCGTGGTGGGGAGGCGGTGGTGGAACGTTTCAGATCGATCCTTCAGCTTTATCCGGCCCGCCGAGTGGAACTGGCCCTTCATTTGTGCGCCTTGGTCATCCTTGAATGTTAGACGGATGCCTTCTTCCTCCTCCCTTTCTCCATTCTCGCCGAGACATCCTCCATCTTTGCATCTCAATTACCATTCCTTTATTTCGCTTCTCCCGCTTCTTCACTCGAGCGTGCAAATATCTCGAGCGATTTTTATTTCAGCTTTTAATATCGACTCGTCTTGAAAGAAGCTCGAACCGTTTGCCGTGAAAATCTTGAAATATACACACACGTGGAAAGGAATATTTTTGAAAAAAGAATTCGGTCTGACGAATCGAGAAGAAAAAAGAAGGGGGAAAATTGCTGCTTAATCGGGGATCGTTAAGTTTTCTCCCTCACGGAGGAGCGGTTAAAGCATCGAAATAGAAATACTAATGCTCGGCCCGCGAAGTGGGTCCTTTGTAAATGCGCGGAAACAAGAAATCAGGAAATACTAGGCGGAGCTTGTTAACAAGAACTTCTTTGAAAGTTCGACGGTGAACGTCTCTGTAAATTAGTGAGGTCTTCGGAACGTGACTAATAAAAAGCGGTAATAATAGCAGTTTGCCCCGCGTTCCTATAACTCCAAGGTAGTCGAGATTCGTTTCTCGAACCAGTCAGACTGACGTCCCGCTTTTTACCCGCCTCTAACCTTTAACCGAAACTCGATCCATTTAATGCTTGGAAAAAGAATTGTATTATTCTCTGTTACCCTATACCCCCATCTTGTATTACTTTTCTACTAATTTGATACCACCATTGTATGAATCTTCCCTCCCCCCCTGTTACGAGTCTTCCATATAGGTGGATTTTAATTAATTAATATTCCGCGAGATGGTTAGAATAAAAAAGATATTAGCGAGCTAATAATTTGAGAAAGGAAGAAAGTATCGCGTCTTATGGATATCTTGTGATAAGCGTCGTGGATTAAGAAACGAGGGATAATGGATGCAATTTAATAAATTCTCGAACTCGTTTTCGCCCGAGTTTTTATTTTATTTCTCGTTCCACGGTCATTGCCAAGGAAAATAAAAGCTTGGACGCACGAAAAGAGGGAATTCGTTATCCGTGAGAATCGTTTCGCTTGTTTTTGAAGTATCGTGAGAACTTTTTCGCGTATATATCGATATTTAACAGAGATGGATATTTATTATCGCGAGAAGGTAAGAAGGCAGCGATTTAACAAAGGAGGAGGGTTCGAATTTACAAATTTCAACTCGAAATGGAATTTTCCCGGGGCGAAGTTATAGTATTAACAGGATTTTATCGTTCCAATTTCAAATTCAAATAATTAGAGCGAAAGGATATGACAAATTTTTAATTCAAGACCACTCGTTAAAATATTTACTGACCTCTTTGCCGTGCTTCTCTTGAATATCCGCTGACCTGCACCCAGTTTCCAAAATCGCGAGGCACGATCTGAAAATAGACGATTCTTTATTTTCCTTCCATTTCTTTTTTTCTCTCTCTCTCTCTCTCTCTCGTATCATATTTTTCGCGAATCAGATGAATCTTTCAATCAACGACACTGGAACGCGGATACCTTTATCAAAATAAAACTAGTGCAGATTTCAAAATATACATGCAGTAATAATAAACGATAATTTTATTTAAAGAAAAATTGAGTCGAGAAGAAGTCTGTTCTATAAGATCTACGATAAGATAAATTTATTTACAATATCATGCAAATATAAAATTTCACGGGGGTTCTAAACCCAAGATTCGATTTCGAAAAATGTTAATAACCAATGATGTATTATACAAATTGTATCCACTTTATTAACGCGTGTCGTGCTCGAGACCGAAATGCGCCTCGAACACCGATAAATTAACGAGGAGGGACCGATTTATCGCGCGACAAACAGCCCAGCGTGGAGAAAAATCTTCAGAAGGTGAGCTCTTTAATTAATAACCCATTAACCCCTTCCCCCTCCATATATTTATCTCTATTTTTTTCAAGGCTTCCCATAAATCCTCTTCTCCCTCGCAAATGACTCTCTTCCCATGGCAATTCGAAAACCCATTAAATTTCAACTTAATCCCAAGCTGCAGCAGCACGATATTAGACAGAACCGTGGCCAACTGTGTACAATGGACGAATATATACCCGTATCCGTGTGCACGTTTCTCGAGATACTCAACAAAGAAGTTGCAACCTTTTTATCACGGTGCATGGCATAATATACACGAGTATCGATCTATCTTCGCGGAGAAGTAAGCTCGCGTGTGCACGTTTGAGATCGTCGTCGATGGAGGAAGTCACCGCCCCAAGATAATGGTAACCGAGTGGTATCGGCACTTTTTTCCAACTTTAAATAAATTCATTTTTACAAATAAAAGGAGAGGCTGGTCGGTGGAAAATAGTCGATCGATAAAGCGAGAGAGAGAGAGAGAGAGAGAGAGAGAGAGTACGCC